GTTACTATTGCAGATGTACGCGGGAGTAGGGTGAGCTCATTTCCCATCTTTGCCGGCGAGAATGGAAAAAAGGTTCTAAATGTAGATGAAATATTTAAACATTCTTGATGTAAAAAAAAGTACTCTTGTTACAATTCACATTGAAATTGGTCAAACCACCACCCTGTGTTTAAGAGTAGTTTTAAGCATGAGAAAATGATAGTGTGCCATTTACTTGCACGTAGGACCAAGAGTATGTTAGCATTGATTTTGAATATTCGAACAAGTGGGAAGACTTGGGCAGAAGCCCACTTCGTGTAGCCAAAAATGCTCGCAGAAATAAGCATGTGGTGGGAGGTTTGATTCCTCACTCATGCAAATGGAAAGCACTTCATGACCAGTCGTTTGCCCCCTTGTGGAAAACCCTACGACGAAAGGATTAGTCACTGCTACCAGTGGTGGATGCCTTGAGCAATAAAAAAAAAAATAGGACAAGTAAATAAAATGACAAATAGCCCCCTAAAATCATGGCAATTGAAATAGAGACCATAGATCAAGCTATCACTTCACACACACAACTCACCATCTCACCAACACACTCAACGACAAGCCAATAGCCAACCATTCAGTTTTCGTGCTCTCAAACTACTCAACTCTTGCATCCTTTTTAACTCTCATTCCTTATCATCTTTCGCCATCAGCAGCGCAGTACCTAGTTAGCTAATTGATTAGCTTATGTGCTTATTATATCAGCTCATCCTGGCATCAGCTCTTGGCCCATCAATCTCCTGCAGTTGATTTAGCTGATTCGGCTATGCACATGCATTAGCTCATCTCACTGCAGCTCATCACAGCACTGAATATTTTTGTATGATTATTTTAAACATTTAATGCAATTTACGTCCCATTCCACTTGTCTCTATTTAATTATTTGTATTTGGGAAGATCGAAACAGAGAACCTCAAGTGCTCCAGTTATTGAAATCGTTTCTACCCTAACACGTTAATTTGTATCATGTGATCCATCCCGAGCAACATTTTTTTCCTCGGGACCATTTTCACATCCCTCACAGAAAGCTCAACTGGCATATTATATTGATTATATTCCCTCCCCCAAAACATTTTTCCTTTTTAAATATTGAAATGAACGAAGTCTTTTTCTCATCTTTTTCCGGGATAACCTGATAGCATGTGCGAAACCCTTGATTAGACGCTCGCTTTCGTTTCGTGACAAAAGGAAAAGCAATAATATCAACGTCAACAAACAAAAAAGAAAATTAACATTATCATGAAATTTTGTATATGATGAGTAAGCAAAGCAAGCACACGGCTCGAGAGTGCCGCGGAAGATAAATTTGCGGGTGACCGAGGACCCCCCTTCCATAATTGCCTTTTTCCTTTCCTTATCCTCTTCTCACATTTCTTTTTTTTCTTTCTTTTATTTTGTTTAAACTGATTTTTTACAACCTTGAATTTGAATACCCTGTCCAAGAGCTCATAACAGAGAAACACAGGAATTGTATTTTAAATAATGACCACATTTTACTTAAAGTTAACGCATCAGGTCTAGTAATAACAAAAAATAGTTCCGCGTTAGCCTGCGCGACATTTTCCTTGCTCTGGTTACTAAAATGAGATTATTTAGTTTCAGGTCAAATAATTAATTAATCGCGTGATTAAAATGGAGAGAGGTCAAGATTATTAGATTTGCATTTTGGGGTCGCATATTTGTCCCGATGGTGATTGGTACAGCGACCGGGAGATCAGCCCATTGACAAATGTCGTAGACAATTTCTTCATGGAAGTTGTAGCTCATCAAAATCAAAATTTTAATTTAATTTGGTGTAAATATAAATTTATATCTCCGTGTTGTGAAATCCGGTATCCTGCTATGCTTTTCCCTGGGATCAGTTTCACTGCTCATCTCAATAATAAGATTTGAACCATTTAGATTATGTTCTTATCTTTAGACGAGATCTAAATTATTCAAATTTTAATTTAAACAGTTTGGATTTAAAATATTATTATATATTTTTATATTATATTTATTTAAATAAAAATTTATAAAAAATATTAAATAATTTTAATAAATTTTTTATTTTTAATTTAGTATTAGGGAAACCAGTTCTGCTTTCCCCCTCAAAGTGAAAAGTTGTACGGGGGGAATGGAAAGATAAAAAAGAGTGCACAATTATGACTAAAGAAGTGATATTGTTTGGGCCAGCCCAAACCGACGTTCAAATTGGTCTGCCACACGTAATAGGAGAGATCGGTAAAAAGAGCAAGTATTCTCCATTAATTATTGCTAGAAAATGTCAATAATAACTAATCTAATAGCTATAACCCTACGACCGAGCCATGCACCTTTTTTTTCCCCCTCTTTGGGGTCATAATCGATTCAACTCAGGCAAGTCTAATCACATGTGCGCAACTCAACTAGCTAGAAAATTTGTATTTAGGTTGCACTAACTCCATAATGCATGTCACATATGAATGGTTAAAAATATAGGAATAATGCAAGTGACCTTTCAAAAAGGACATGTTGACTAGCTGCAGAAACAACTAACTAAGATCTAAGATTCTCATTAAGTTAATCTTGACAACTAATTGGCCCAATCATATCTCGAGTCTTGGACGATGCGGCCTAAATTATAAAGTCCCAAACCTTAAATAGTGAGAGTCAAAAAGACAAAAGGAAAAAAGATGATTTGCCTCCTCGGGCCCCTAACAAGGACGCATATGAAACTAATGGTCACTAAAGGAATGTATTAGAGCAATATGACACTGTTGAGCCAAATAATTAAGAAATCTCCACAGTGCCAGAAATCTTAGCATGCTAAAAGGTACGTAAAGAGGGATAACTAAGGATTCCGTAAGAGATTAATTAGTTTATATCACATGGAGATACTCATCAGAGGGCCGGGGGTGCGAAAGGCAAGAACTATCCTGCGCACGGCGAGGCCTACACGTTGATGAAAATGGTGTACGTTCTTAATATTGATATAATTATTAGTGGTATTTGAATTAGTAGCACTAATTAAGCTGGGGATGGTTCACGTGACCGAATATTTTGCTCAATCACAGGTTTTGTCTCTCGTTTTCTTGATTGACAGCTAGATAAGGCGCGTTTAATCTCTCTAAAATTGACCGTTTCCAAACTTGCGTTGCGCGGTGTGTCCATGTACTGCTGGAGCTGTTACTAATTCACGTCCAAGAACTCGGCCACCGGAATATATAACAGATTCAAACAATATGACTACGCTAGCGCTATCATATATTTAAATCAACTAGTCATTAAAACAATGCAAATACTGCATGCTAGCTATCATCTTAAGACAAAAACATCTGAGTGAGGATGTGCGTGTGTTTAATAGAAATAGTACATATATTTGGTTCTATCGTCATTTAATCTAGATTCGAGTTATGTCATCTCACAGAAGGCAGAATCTCTCCCACTGACAATTATTTTATTTGAACCGTTATACATTTGCGTGCGTGTTAGGGTGTATCCTAAAATCATGCGCCGGGTTCCATGTAATTAAGGCATGACCCGCCTCATCCTAATAATTACCTCAAGTGGCAATTTTCCAGGGCTAATGTGAATTAATGAGAAGAAAATAAACTGAAATCGTGGAAGCAACAACAATCACACTATTAAAATGGTAATAATCAACTAATCATGCATGACATGAGACGTAATATCGCTGGTGTGTCGAGATTTTGAATGACCGGTGTCCGGTGCGAGCTGTATAGTGCGTAACGCTGCAGGCATGGCACATAAACCTTATGCGCTTTTAATTTTTCCAGTAATTAATAATTCACCTATGATTAACCGAGTAATAAAATAAGGGTAAGACTTATATGCTCAACCTTAATATATTTATATCAAATTAAATCATGATGTGTGAATCCTAATGTATTGATTTAATTAATAACAAAAATTTATTATACAAAAAAATCTATAAAAGGTCAACATGTCTTCATTTAATGGGATGCAAGCATTTTAAGTATATAAATATAAATATATAAGTTTTTTTCATAAAATAAAGAAATACGTCCCATTGGGTTATTAAAATAAAATTGATTGAAAAAAAATAAAGATAAAAAGATATTATAAAAAAGAATAATGAACTACATTCAGAAATAAAAAAGATAATTTAGTTTTTGAAATTAAAAATTATGATTCATGAGATTTTCAGTATGTGATATGATTTCACATTTATAATATATATATTAATGAATTTTATTATATTTATCGTAAGAATGAAAAGTAATTTAATTTATTTTTATATTAATTTTTTTAATTCATTTCATTTTATTTACTCCTAATATCCATCAGAATTTAAAAAATCAACAAGAATATATATGTATGTACATATAGAACCGATTTACTGGCCGCTTTTGGCGAATGAACACGCTTTGGGTACCCCAGCTGTGTCACGAAGACAACACGGAGGGCGGAGGCATTCTCTGCCTTTTGTCTAGCTCTATTTTACAACCCAGGTGTTGACGTCGACATATATTTTCTCCAATTGTTTATTTGAAATTGCCAGAGTCAATCATTCAATGATTATCCCAAGAATTTAAGAGGGATATAGCTAAGCAAATAATTGAGGCATCACTCCAGTACTATTAACCCCATTTACTTATACTAAGCACAACCCATATCGCCGTTCGATCTTCGCATTTTCACAAGGACTTAAACACGAGTGCTATCGATGCCCTCCGTTCGTTTATTAATAAATTATTGGAGGGATCTGAGAAAGTAGCAGCGGGTTTTCCGGGGAAAAGACGAATAAGCAAAAGCTTGTATTCTGACACGTGGAAACATGGTGTCCATTGGATGGTCAAAACGCCAAGAGATTCACTCATTTCCATCGGCTGAGATTTTTCGAAAGAAAAGTGGGTTGTGACTGAGGGAGTGATTGGCATTTTCACGTTCACCCACTTGCATATACTCCCCGTCTGTGTCTCACACGCATATATAACGTAAGCACTTGTACTCCGTGACTGAGTCTGGGACACACTAGCATCCCAGAACAACCATGCCAGTGTGTCTCTCTGCATTTATGTAAGTGGAAAGTGAAGAGTTGGTAATTACTTATACTGTATCGTATGGTAGTGTTGCCGAATGCAGTTTCCATGACGGCGTAGCAGACGCTTGCTCAAATTTCGTGCATATGTAGAGTAGAGCTAGAGAATTTGGAGAACTCCAACACGACCTTATCCTCCTCTCTTACCGTCCTTCATTTTTCTTTTCAAGCATCTCGATTAGCAGTTGACACTCCACACTGAAAAGCTGCAAAAACCCACACCACGAGATCGTGTACTTAGACGCGCGCGATATATACTACACCCTCGCCGTAGTCAGTGAGCCATAACCCGCAAAAAAAGCGAGTTGGGTCGAATAATTAAAGCCTCTATATTGCGCTTACTTTGTAAGCAAACCAATTGAAAACCCGAAGGCAATTTTTAAGACTCCGGAAGGTTCTCTTTTCTGATATGGATTTTGCGTCTGAATTGGGGACTGCTATAGCTTTTGGATGCAAAAAATGGCTGACTGGTTCTCTCTAGGTGGAAAACAAGGTCCACAAGCGAAGGTAGAAAAAGGAAAAGAAGATAACAGCAACAGCAATTGCCTATTCTTGTTGAGGGACGAGGAGATCTACAACAACAAGGGATTCGAGATATGGACGCAGTCTTATCACCATCACCCAAATCAATCCTTGAACAACTGCTTCTCTCTTGGGGTGGGTCCTAGTTGCGCGAACTTGTTTGATGAGTCAAGGAGGTTTGGATTGACGGTGATGAGGTCTGGGACTCTAGGAGGCGGCATGAATTGTCAGGACTGTGGGAACCAAGCGAAGAAAGACTGTACACATCTTAGATGCAGGACTTGTTGTAGGAGTCGAGGGTTTCAGTGCCAAACCCACGTCAAGAGCACTTGGGTTCCTGCTGCCAGACGTCGCGAGCGACAGCAACAGCACCTACAGCACCAGCAGCTTCACGGAGATACCTCCAAACGCCACAGAGAAACTCAGGGTGCAGCAGCTCTTGCTTGCATTCCTTCACCAATCACCACTACAGGTAAAGTTTGTAGGATACATGATACTAATTAATACAACTGTTATTTGCACTTGAGAAAAGGTTCGTGGCGTGAAAAAAATCTACTGGAAAAATTTGTTTGCAAATCCTTGAGAGGTCCAATAATACTGACGAATTTTTCAACCCTATGACTGTTGAGTCTAGCTATCTAGCTGGTACAGAAATACATGGTAGTAAGATCTTGAGGAATTTCAGTCTTGTATACGACTGTTGCCTAGCTACTAACCAACCAATTATCGAGTTGCGGAATTTCAGTCTTGATGAAAACGAAATCCCACTCCCTGGACGCCCCTTATCTAGCTTCTGTTTTTCAACTCTTTATTCTTCTCTATCTCCTCACTGTTCGTGAGCAAAACCGACGAAATTAAGGCTGATCTGATTTAATCCTGTTATACTCTATAGATTTGAACGTCAAAAACCTATGTCTCAATTTTCCACCCCGGAAAAACGAAGTCCAACTGGATGATTTACAGCTAATAATTTCTTTGTGGATTATTAGGGTTGGAACTGGGACAATTCCCTCATGAACTGAACTCACCAGCAGTATTTCAGTGTGTGAGAGTTAACTCAATGGACACACCAGAAGAACAGTACGCCTATCAAACCGCTGTGAACATCGGAGGGCATGTTTTCAAGGGAATCCTATACGATCAAGGTCCTGATGCTCCTTATAACGCAGGTGGTGATCTTAGCTCCTCCACCGCAGCTGATGCTGATCAGAACCTGAGTCTCATAACGGCCTCAACCACAGCAGCCCCGGCCAGCGTCAACCCGTTTGATCCTTCACTCTACCCTAATATCCCACTTAATACTTTCATGGCTGGTACGCAGTTCTTTCCACCACCAAGATCCTAAAGATGTACGTGTCTCTCATTCTCTAAGGGAATAATATCATGTTCTTGTGTTGCTTAGCTGAGAAGAGTCTTCTCTTGTCAATGACTCTGGAATATTGAGTATATCCTGGACATGAGCTCTAAGCGGCTGGAAGAATTTAAGAAAATCATTATGGCGAGATGATTCAGGGCGCGCGAAATAGGGGTGTTTGTTTTGTTTTGTCCGAAATTCAATTCGGATTTTCATGGACTATTCTGATCTTTCGATGACTCACTTTTCAATCCAGAGGATTTTTATATTTGTTGTGAAAGAGAGTTTGTTGGTTGAGTGTATTTTCTTTGGCAGTTTTCAGATGTGTGCATTACATTTTCTGGATGGCTTCATTTCTTTGTTGTACTTTTTTTCCCTCTTATTTGGGTTAATATTGAGCGTGCCTTCTGGTCGGTCCTGAATTCAAAACCGCTTTTGCCCGCTTCTCCGTTTGCTTGCCGGATCAAAATAGTAGAACGAAATAGGTTTCGTGTTTGGTTAAGCATATATATGTATTTTTATATTTATTTTTATTCCTCGCACGATTTCTGGAGAGAAAGGGCAAGGAACGGACGGCCCATCTTTTTTATTATTTCATTTTTAATTGTTTTCCTGTCTCCCATGCATTGACAAATGGCAACACTGGCCGTCCCAGTTCAGTCCCAAAAGTGAAACACAGTATGCCACACTTCCTTTATACCTTTTCCTCCCCCATATCCGTACAATTGTATCCTCACGACTTAACGTATAACTGAAGATTTCCAAGTAACATTTAAACCCGGTGCTTGTCTGAAAACGTAAATTTTAGCCACAGTAACAGACATTCACGCTCCCAGAACACCGTGCCATTTCCATATATTGTTGGAAAAAGGCTACTTATTGGGCTGATAATGTTCAATGCTTCAGAAATTACGTGCATGTGATGTTTGTTCTATGCACATAAATGTTTACTGCTGCTATTGTTATAGGAGAAGCTACACAGACTTCTGGTTTAATTCATTAATATTGGGGACGAAAAATCTGAAACTTTTCACAGAATTTCCTCATTTTTGTAATAACTGGCCCATAACATGTGCTGCGCTACCTTCGGCTGATAGAGACAGCGCACAGATCATGTAGTCACTCTCTCTTTCATCTTCTTGTATATTTATAACTTTTTATGAGCGTTTTGCCCCCACTTCATTATATGATCCTCCTCCTTGCATTGCAAAAATGTTTATGTTCATTACGTATTTTTATGTAACAGGAAGTCACATGATAGTCTCATTCCATCCTTCGCCTCCAGTAAATTTTGATTCGACAAATTTACAGTCCATGCATACAATTATATTTGAAGCTTGAAGCTGATACTATATATCATAGAATGAGTTTAACGAGTATATGATTTCAGCTTAGGACAGAAGCTTACCTATCTAACCCGATTTGTGAGAACGAGTAGATCCAAATTGATCCGCAGTTCCCGTCAAAAGTTCGCCCTTAAACATGTATATGTTGATTTTAATGGATTTATTGCCATTTATATTTCCCTTTTGGTTAATTTTGTTAACTTCTCTTGGTGCTTGTAAAACGTTGGTTGACATTGTACCCGCCTCTTAAACACACGTCATGGCTTTAACTTGCATTTTGAATTAGTAAACTTTGATGTTTCTCCCTAGTTTAATTAATTAGGTTTGAACAATATGTCAAATATCACACATTTTTGTATAATATACTATTTACATACATCAATACACACACACACATATAGCTAGATGATAATTTATTATATACAAATAGGTCATAATTGATTAAATACGATTCTTCTGTTAGGTCCTAAATTGACAAGCTTTGTAATAAGTCTTTAATGAGCATGTTAGTTTCAGATTTAACCTTTCTATAATATTATTAAATGGATTTTTTTGGGTCATCAGTGATTAAATTAATAGACCGTTGAAAATGATTTCAATGCAGTAATCAATAATTACATCTTAAGTCCACTCGATATATATGTACCCGCCGACACTAGCTAACTGCTGCCCTTGACCTTGTTATCTAGCTAGGAATTTATGGGTTTTAGAGTACAAAATATTGGTTTTATGTAGCTATTATCAGATGATAAATCCGGTACATAGAAGCTATGGATATGTGATTGTCAACTAAATAATAATGGCGATCTTTTTTGCTTCGTCACATTATGAATTAGACTCTACAATAAACAAATAGTATTTGATTAATGAAAGCACATCAAGTGCTAGAAATGATTGATCACTTGTGGATTTCAATTTCAATTGGCAGTTGACGGTTCTCACTCTAGCCATAGGCCTGTATAGGATTCGGGTTATTAAGGTTATTTTAGAGGTGCGGATTGAATTCATATATATGTGTGTGTGTGTGTGTGCAGGAGCCTGTCTAATGGTCAAACAATATGCTAACTCATCCAAATAAAATGCATGTTATACTTGTTATTTTGTTTCTCTTTTACAGGCGCTCAATTAATTGAGTGTCCAGAGAGGGGCACCATGTCATCAATTGCCTAGTGCCAACCATTATGCTGTTTCACTTGTGCCGTACGCGTGCATGGAAACTGAGAAGCCTTTTTTGGGCGTTGGCATCTTAACATACACTCCCTCGGTCCCAATTGTAGTGCGCGACTATTATTTCTTGTATTGTGTATTAGAGGAACAACTCTCATTCGAATTTCGATTAATTAAGTTCCTGTTCTTCAACAACAGAGATCCCTATAACACAGTTGGTTTATCCGAACCGTCTTTTCAAATTGTAAACTATCGAACAATTTATTATGATTCTGGGCAAAACACGCTCGCACGCACGCACGTGCATGCCACTATTCTGCACATACGAGATGGGTTCAACGTGTCAATTATTTGATACCCGTGTCCTACCATTGTCAGGAAGAAATTGACTTCCCTTATCTCCAGAATATAGACATGCATCGCCACACAGTTAATTCATGGGTGACAGCAGCGATTATTTTTATTCGTTGCTCCGATTAATAACAGTGACAGCAATAATAATAAGAAGCCAATTAATCCCACAAGTCTGCGATAATAATAAGATGAGAAGTGTAGAGCACCGTAGATCCAAACCACAAAAAAATTGGTTTCAAAGCAATTTGTATTTTCAGGGTTCGTATTGTCGAGTTGAAGTGATGGTTCAGAAGAGGGGAGTCTCAGGGACCATTTCATGTCGACCAGGCCACCGGACAATGTTGGGGAAGGTTTGGTTCATCCTTCTGAATAATGTCTTGTTTTTGTGCAGAGTTAAAAAAAATTGAGAAACTTTTACAGCACTAGAGATATAGGGTTCCCTAAGATGATGACGCCCTATAGTGTTTGTGCAATGAATGGCATCACACATAGCCTCGTAGGTGATGGCCCCCGCCATGCCAATATTGACAGCAACTTTTTTTTTTTTTTTTCAATTTCCTCTTTTTTCCTGGGCAAGTCATGTCTTGGCGATGAGTTTCTGATTAATTAGTGATAAATACTGCGAAGATGATTATATATGAGATTATTTAAGGGAATGCAGTTTTTAACTGCTGGATTAAAATAACTACTAGTTCTAACTGCCGATACTTTATTCAATTGGTAAAGGAGTTGTATCTGTTAAATTAAAAATTTAGTTATAGTTTTAAGATTATATTATCATTTGTGATAAAGTTTACGTGTAAAAGAGTCCTATCTCGACTCAATTTAGATTAATCTAAATTCTTTTCAAGTTATTTTGACTTGATGTGAGGATAGGTTTAGGATACTAAATGATCAGTCGCGCAAGAATAGTTGTTACATGCAATTGTTTTTCATACAGATATAGTAATCTTTAATAATATCCTTATTTTACCTTTATAGTGTGTGAAGATTGTTTCCTTAATTTAACTTGTGCTTTGGTGGTGCAAGGGATGTGTTGAAAGTTCATATCAATTATGGATTCAATCACGGTCTTTCATCCAATTTGGGCCCCACTGATTTTCATGCTTGTATTCTTATTTAATGGAAGCATAGTTCTCCACTTTCTAAGTCATTTCTCTTGCGTCGCGTCTGCTTAATATGAATCATAATGATCAGAAGTTGACACTAACTACGATTGCTTCGTGTATAATTGTTCCTTCGAGCTAATAATTGACATAAACGAAACCAACTTCCAGATGACCAAGCAAACCAACTTATATTATGAGAATAAAATAATTAGAAACATTTTTAAAATAAAATGTCAGAGATTAAAAAGGGGTCATGTCAGGATCAGGCTTCGGTTTTCTGTAGGCCCAAATAAACAGCCCATTTTCTTTTCACTTTTTGTTAAACTGGTTTTGGATGAACATTCCAAGTTTCCAATAATCCCAACCTACGGTCAGGTCCAGCTTGAACCATATGCTAACGCTAGTGTTGTCTGTTGACCACTTATCTTTATCATTTTTTTTTTGGATAAACTTATCTTTATCATTTCGAACGAGAGTAAGAGTACCGTGCTCCGGGTTTTTTTTGGGCCTGGCCCATGTATGTTTATGTGTATTGCTCGTGAACCTTGTTTCCTTTCTTTTCTTTTCGTGCTCTGGGTTTGTGGAATAGGGATGCAGATTCTCTCCGTTCTCTCTTACAATGCATTTCTCACGCCCAATCTCAACCATTCATTTAATTGTTATTTTAATTTTATGATATGAGATTATTAATTATGACATTAAAATTAATAGGTTATTCATTATCATAACTTAAATACTTTTGAAAATAAAATCACAATATTTATTAATTATAACCATTAAATAAATGATATATTTATTTTAATGCTATAATTAGCAACATCAAACTATTAAATCAAAAAAATAATTAGATGAATGGTTGATATGAGGTTTGGAGGGGATTCAAGTCTGAATAGAGTCGTTTACATACATGCATGCATATATATTGCACAGATATACTAATATAGTAGACATCAGCGGAGATGGTCGCTGTGTTTGTAGAAACCCAGTAGGCTTATTCCATACCTAATTTTGTTCTGTGGTCAATATAGGTAGCATGATGAACTTCCAAAAATAAAAAGAAAAGTTAAACTCCCACAAAAAAAAAAAAATTGGAATCCCTTAATTCTTTTTTCATACAAGAGCAAGTCAATTCATTTGTCACTTCAAACTTCTCTCATGTCTTAAGATTGATTTCTTCATGAATTGCACTTTTTCGCACAGTAATCTTTCAACTAATGAAAACTAACATGATTATTTGACAGGACAATATAATTTTCAAAGCAAAAGAAATAATTTTAAAAAAATCAAGAAAAGTTTCACGGTTGATTAAGTTTAAAGTATCCCTGGATATTAATTTTCTTAATTACATGATACCATGAAAGAGGCAAAGATCTTGGAAATTAATCATCCAATTCACCACGACAGTAGTTATAGCGAGTAATACTATTATAACTCATCCCACGACAAGCTTTTGCAATAATTAGTAAACTGATAATGGTAAAGGAGCGAATTTGAATTCAGTGGTCTGTTATAGTCAAGAGGCAGAGACTGGATTCTTAGTTCAAACAGCTCATAATAATAAAGTACATCTCTTTGTTAAAAAATATAAAACATTTTTAATTAAATTTTACCCTCAATAAAATAATTAGTTATTTTTAAATTAATCTTATCTTTTAACATTTACCCCTATTAAATACCCCATAATAAATATAAAGTTATTATCAATAGGAGTACTTTAAAAAAAAAGTTAATAATTACACATCAAAAAAATTAAAAATATCTTATATTTTTTAATATCTAACTCCTCCAAAAATGCCTTACATTTTTTAATAGAAAAATCATATGATAATTAATTATATTTTTTAATATCCAACTCCTCAAAAAATATCTTATATTTTTTAATAAAAAAAGTATATGATAATTAATTTTTGTGTGTGTGTAATATGTTACCAAAATAAATAAATATTTTTTTTTTTAAATTTTGTCTTATCGATTCATGACATAAAAACAATCATCATATTTACAATAAGCATTTTAAAAATTTTCTTCTCAATATAAATTATCATATTTGTTGCTTGTAGAGGCATCATCAAAAATAATGAGAAAAATTGGATTAATTTTTTTTTGAAATTTTCTAACTATCATTCTAACACAGCTATAGAATTTTTGAAAATCTTTGAAAGACTTAACATTTGCTAAAAAGAAAAATTATCCAAAATTAACATTTATTATGACTCGATGGAGCACTATCTCTCATTAGTCATGGTTACTCTAGAAGTCATCCCTTATTTGGTATTATCAAAAAAATTAGATATCACACTATAAAAGATTGGGTGGTTACCTCTAATCACATTTATAGAGAATAAAATAAGTGCGCATATTTGTTAGCTCACCAGACAATACAAAACAACTTTAATATTACAATTTCCGATATACCTCACAATACTATAGTAACCTCTTGACATTAGACATGGCTAGATCTAAAGAGTAAAATTTTTTAATAAAATTGTAGACGTCTTAACATTAAACAAGCTAAACATATCAAAGTTGTCTGTAGTTTAAGAAGCTTTATTGCTGGTTCATTTAATTGATTATTTAATTCTTTTAATTAACAAATTATGACAAATTAAACATATAACACAACGATAATACTCAAGTGTTGCATAACTTTTGTTATTGGATCAAATTATATCACAATAAAAAATCAATTCATGCAAAGAATTTCAATAACTTAGTTGTTATAAAAAGAAGTAACTTTTTCTATAAGAATATCCCAGCTATAACTTAACTTCTAAAAATAGGTGATTATTAAAGTTTAGATAAAATTGCTTGTAAAAAAAGTTTAGATAAAATTAAATTCTATTAATATTAAATATACGAGGGGTCAGAAATATATAAATTCTATATTTTATTAAAAAAATTTAAAATGCTCCCTTAGTCCCCTTGTCTCCCCTCTCGATTATTGTCCGCCTCCACGTTGTAGTTTAATTTGTATCCCGAGATCATTGTATGAAAACTCAGATCAGACCAGTCGGTTTAACTTATGAGTGTGACCCAAGGTCAACCTGAGATAACCCAACTAACTTGGTAGCCAGGTTGTTGGGTCATCCGGATCACTTTTTTTTTTTGAAATTATAAAAACTAAATAAAAAGTAAAAAAATTAGCTTGAAAATTAAAAAAGTGAAGCAATGGAGGGTAAGGCCATTAAACTAGATTTCACTATCTGTAGTTTGAACTTCAAATAGAAGGTTTAATTGTAAGTTAAAACTTAAAAGATTCAGCATCCTTTTAAGTTAAATGTGTCTTAATTGTTTTAATCTTTCATTATTTGCTATTGTTTATTTGTCTAATTGTTACTTAGCATTTATGAATTATGACTATCATTGTTGATGATTTTAGTGTTAGCGATGATTAATTTTAGACTTTTTAATGATTGAAAGGCTGTAAATTGTAATTGTAAGAATGAATTTTTAAAAATTTATATTTTATTATTGTTAAACTTTTAGATGGTTGTAATTCTATAATTATTATTGTATCGTACCTTGTATTAGAGATTAACATTAAATTTGGTTGAATATTTTCATAATTAATATCTTTTTATTTAAATTATATTATTTTAATTATGATCGATTTGCTTTTTAGGTTAACCCCGATTCAACTCAAGTTGAACCATTAACCCATAATTTATTGGCTTGTTTAATAATTGATTCGGTTTTCAGCATCCTGCTAGAGACACATTAAAATTGAACAGTGCAACGGCAAGCCGTTACATCTGCAATTTTTATAAGCAAGATGCGCCCATGCCATGCTACGTGGGTGAGGATAGAGGAGAGAAGGCCCCAACGAAATTTTAGACGGTCGCGACGCCACGTGTCGCATAACACATGCGTGTGAAGGCCACGGCAACGAAAAATGTATAAATACGCGGAGAAAGAAAGCGGCCTTGGAGAAAATTTTGAAGCGTCTCCGAGTTCCGAGAGGCCGAGTATTGGTTTTCCGACAGATTCGAGCGATCAAGCAATATTCACACACATTTGACATTCCGTGGTTCTGCATTTCTTCTTTTAAAATTTTTTGAACATAGTTGGAGGAGATGACTGATGGAGGATGCAGTCCGACGATGGATCTGTTGCGGTCGGAGCCAATGCAACTAGTCCAGCTCATCATTCCGACCGAATCGGCTTACCGAGCCATCTCTTACCTAGGCGATCTCGGCCTCTTTCAATTCAAAGATGTATTCCTCATTTCCTTCTTCCATTCTTCACTCTGCTTCCTTTTCCAATTTCTTTTTTATTTCTCATCGCTGTCATTTTGGATATTATTAATACTTAAATCCTCTCAGTTTGCTATCTGCTTTGATCTTTTTATAGAGGGTTCTTATTCAGTTCTCCAGTCATAATGTTTTTTTCGTGAATCTAGGTGCTGTCGGTTTAGTTCATCCATGGACTTTTGTCATGATGTGAACATGTATTCTTGTTTTCGGTCTGCTGTCTGTATCGTTATTCACTTATTTTTTTTTAATTAATTCTTTGATGAACTTTTATTCATGGATTTTCCAGCTTAATGCAGAAAAAAGCCCATTCCGACGGACATATGCTGCTCAGGTGCCTATACGATCTCTGTCTCCTTAGTTTCTGTTATATATATGTTGACTACTTGCATCGTTCAAAAAAGAAAGTAAGAAAGAAAAGGAAACGGAAAGAAATTAAGAAAGAAGAGGCAGTTTTAGCAGAAAGCTGGAAACTATGGAATAATAAAGCACACGTACTAAACATATGGTTTAACATCTACGGGGATTTCCTCCGGCAATATATTTGTATAATTTATATCAGTAAGAAACCAGTTTCATTGCTCATAATGCAGATCTTTCATGATCTAAATTTATAATTTTTCAGCTGATGTTTTTTAAATAAAAAATTATCTTTGAATAACTAACAGTTAAAAAATTGTTTTCATTTGAAATTCTGCATATTTTAAAATATTTATTTTAAAAAAGTAAAATGTTGTAAGTTCAAATTGGATCTCAACGATCTAGAGGTGATAAGTTCTTAGTGCTGAATGGTTATACTAGGCGTTATTTTTAAATCAGTGCACGCACTCTAATTCTTACTATGATACACACGAGAATTATTCTTGGAATAAACTGCTAAACTGGACATTTCCCTCTTCTGTCAAAGCTTACCATTTTTACCATACAGATTAAAAGATGTGGGGAAATGACATGCAAGCTACGGTTCTTTAAGGAACAAATGGCAAAGGCTGGCGTATCACCCTCGACAAGGTCAATGAGAGACGGAGAAGTAGATCTGGACTATCTAGAGGTTGTTCTATGTTTCTCTCGCTCTAGATATTTCTGTGCCATGTAATGAAACATTTTGTTTTTCATGAACAGGTTAAACTTGCAGAGCTTGAAGCTGAGTTAATTGAGAATAATGCGAATAATGATAAGTTGCAACATAGTTACAGTGAGCTGTTAGAGTATAAACTCGTTATGCAGAAGGTATGGCTGTCATAAGTTCGCCATGACCACCATCGTCAACTTGAATTTGATAATTGAATTTTGAAAGCTTTGATTCCTTTCTCTGGCTACCTTGTTCGTGATTATAATCATCATGTAAGATGTTTTAGTTTTTTATTTGTAACAGTATCTCCATCTCCCCATGTACAAATAGTTAGTCCAGGTGCATGCATATACTAGCATCAGAAGGGTCTATTTCAGTTTAATTCCAATTAGCCCGGTGTTTTCTGCTCTTTCCTTAATGTTCCATTTCAGGTTGGTGAGTTTTTCTCTCCGGCACAAAAAAGCGCAGCATCTCAACAGAGAGAGCTTGGAGTTCAGAGCAATTCCGAAGGGTCAATTGACAGCCCATTATTACAGGAACAAGTACAGCTTTGTATTTTCTATTTATTACTTCACATTCTTTTTTTCTCTCCTCTCCATGATGCCTAGAAAAATCATATTCTGTAGGAGATGACAACGGAAACATCAAAGCCAATCAAACTGGGCTTTATCGCTGGCCTTGTTCCAAGAGAAAAATCAACGTCTTTTGAAAGAATTTTATTTCGTGCTACTAGGGGTAACTTGTTTCTGAAGCAAGCCATGATTGAACATCCTGTACTTGATCCTTTGTCAGGAGAGAAGGTGCCAAAATTAGTAGTTTTAAACCTCTGACATCTTGTAGAAGTGGAGGTTCGTGTGTGCGTGTGCGTGCGTGTGTGTGTGTACATAATTCACAAAACCTGTCTTCGTCCAGGTTGATAAAAATGTGTTTCTTATCTTCTATTCTGGAGAAAGAGCTAATAGTAAAATTCAAAAAATATGCGATGCCTTTGGAGCAAATCGTTATCCTTTCACAGACGACTTGAGTAAACAATTTCAAATGATTACAGAGGTACACAGTTTTCTTTTGGATTTCTCCCTAGCTTCCTCTTCTTTTATATGACTATTTCACATCCTGTGGATATCTTTTCCTCTCTCTCTCTCTCTCTATATATATATATATTGTGTGTGTGTGTGTGTGTGTGTTTTAGTTGGGTGAACAGAGTTTCTGATTGAGTTGAGTAAATTTGAGACTTGTGTTACAGCGAAAGCAAGTGAGATAGATGGGAAAACTTATTCTATATGGCACACGCATTTCCTGTTTTGTTTCGTAATGAAGGTCTATGACTGTTGGGGAAATGGTTCCTGTATTTTGTGGTGAAGGAGGAGACTAGTTTGAAGTTCAGAAGAGACTTCTAGAGTGACATTAATTAGCTTGATAGGAGTGTCTACAAGATTATCGAACTGATGCCATGTTTTTGCTTATAAACAAAGTTTAAGTTGCACTTGGTAGGTGTCCGGAAGACTTTCCGAATTGAAGACTACCATTGATGCTGGATTGCTACACAGGAGCACTATATTGCAGACAATTGGATATCACTGCGAGCTGTGGAGCCTTCTGGTTTGTTTAGCTCTTTCAATCTCGTATGCCTAGGGGCTTGCTGATAAAACACGTATTTTATGTGCCCATTTGTCTCGGTTTTCATTACGCTGCTGAGCTTCATTAATTGAACCTTACTTCAAATGTTTCTTAAATTTTGATCAACAGGTGAAGAAGGTAAAATCCATTTATCACACTTTGAATATGTTTAGCATCGATGTGACAAGGAAATGTTTGTTCGCAGAAGGTTGGTGCCCTGTTTTTGCAACAAATCAGGTTTGTTTTCAACGAATAATTTTACATGTAATAGTGCATCTAAAACCTAAAAATATTTTTCTGCGGGTTCGCAATGTGAAAATATGTTGTCGGTTGATTTATCTGATTAGTTTTGAATTTTATGCTTGGCAGATTCAAAGTGCATTGCAGCGAGCAAGCATGGACAGTAACTCACAAGTTGGCGCCATATTCCAGGTTTTACAAGCAAAGGAATCACCACCTACCTACTTCCGGACAAACAAATTCACTTCTGCTTTTCAAGAAATTGTAGATGCTTATGGGTAAGTCACTTTAGGATCAACATATTCATCTCAGAATTCTTTTTTTTTTTTTTGGGGGGGGGGGATTTCATTTTGATATAATTCACGTTCTAGGCTGTACTATTAATATGAATCAAATCCAATGTAATATCTGTCCGACAATGACAACTCTGTGTTCATATTAACCATGAAAGATATGTAGATTATAATGTCAAAATTTTAATCTAGAGTAATCATCGTAACATTAAGTGACAGTTAGTAGAGAACTGAAATATACTGTTCGTTTATATGTTTTTTCTATAATGCTTTTAAAGTTTTTTAGTTGAAATAGCTTTTACATTTTGTATATTCTTAACTAATTTACTCAACTTGATGATTTGTAACTTCATCCTACCCCATTTACATTATTCATCTTTTCTTTTGGACCTCGTATGCTTGGATCACCTAAGGAGAGAATGCCATCACATGCCTGAATGCTCAAAACATAGTCTCGTTAAGTGATGCTTGAGCGTACTTACAGCAAGCTAGCTCAGTCCTTTGAGAAACAAACAGTAGTAAACATTATGGACGGTGGAATTAGGGGAAAAAATGTTAAAACTGCTAAACTTGTCAGCCTTATCTGAAGTCAGTTCACTTTAATTTCCGACAAAAGAAGACATGTTCTCTCACTGAATTTATATAATAGAAGGAATTCCTCCATAAAGTTCAATTTGATCTTATATGATGTTGGTGATATATGTAGATTGTATAATTTGTATTTATTATGGGACAGAAGCGTAATGATGGAGCCTGAAGTTGTCTGCAACCTTACAGGGAAAAACGGCCTTTCTGTATCCCTACATCATATGATTATCATTTTAATTAGTGAATTTTTATGTTCTGTTGCCAATTCATTTTTTTAGTAGCGTGATGCATTCATTGTCAGCCTAGAACTCAAATCTATTGGTAATATTGACAGAATTGCCAAATACCGTGAGGCAAATCCTGGTGTATTCACAATCATCACATTTCCATTCCTTTTCGCTGTTATGTTTGGTGATTGGGGACATGGTACATGCTTATTGCTGGCTACTTTATATTTCATTACCAGAGGGAACAAATTTTCTAGTCAGGTACTTGACTCATTCATGAATTTTTATGTCCATGCCAAAATGCTTCCCCCCTTTTTGATGGGTGCATTGGCTTTACTTCTTGTTGTTAGTAACAGAAACTTGGGGATATCGTAGAAATGATTTTTGGTGGCCGCTACGTTATAATGATGATGGCACTGTTCTCAATCTACACAGGATTGATATACAATGAATTCTTCTCTGTTCCATTTGAACTATTTGGGCCATCTGCCTATGGATGCCGTGATCCTTCATGCAGGTGATTATTATCAGTATCATTCATATGACAAATAACCCCCCACCCCTCGAGTGACATTCCGTGAAAGTATTGTTTATTATTAATTTTGCAGGGATGCTGGCACAACTGGTCTGGTTAGAGTCCGAAGAATTTATCCATTTGGTTTGGATCCTAAATGGCGCGGTACAAGGAGTGAATTGCCATTTCTTAACTCCCTAAAGATGAAGATGTCAATCCTACTGGGTGTAGCCCAGATGAATGTTGGAATTATATTGAGTTACCGTAATGCAAAATACTTTGGAAATGACATAAATATCTGGTAATAGAAGGAGATTGCATCAAGTGTTAATGTCGTCAGTTTATGTGCGCAAAGTAACAACTTAATTTACTTAACGTTACTTCAGGCACCAGTTTATTCCCCAGATGATATTTTTGAATAGTTTGTTCGGCTACCTTTCACTCCTCATAATCGTTAAATGGTGTACTGGATCTCAAGCGGACCTGTATCATGTGATGATATACATGTTCTTAAGTCCAACTGATGATTTGGGTGAAAACCGGCTCTTTGTAGGCCAGAAGCTCCTTCAAGTAAGAAAGTTTAAATACTGATTTCAATATTGTTCTTTTTTCCTTCCTTTTCAGCTGTGATGAACCGATGTCACGTCTAAAATATCCTAGTTTTTATTCTAGCTTGTGTTGTTATTTTTGGCACTCATTGCTGTACCTTGGATGCTATTCCCACAACCCTTTCTCCTGAAGAAGCAACATCGAGAAGTAAGAGCTAGCCTATGTTTATACTTCTCTTTTCTTTTTGTTTTTTGTTTTTCTTTTTTGGTTGTTGGGAGGGGGGGTTCTATTCCACTGCTTTCGACACTCAACATATCGCTAATGACATGTTCTGTCAGAGACATCAAGGTCAATCCTACTCTCTGCTTCATGCCATCGACGATCCTCTTGAAGCAGAACCACATAGTGACACCGAACATCATGAGGATTTTGATTTCAGCGAGGTGTTTGTGCACCAACTTATACACACAATAGAATTTGTTCTTGGCGCAGTATCCAACACAGCATCATATTTACGTTTATGGGCTCTCAGGTATGTAGTTAAAACTATGTTGTTTGTATATGTATACTTCAACGGATGCATAGTGACTACATTCAACAATGCACATTAGACCGGGTTTCGATAAACTTGAAGTTCATGTGTGACAACACCTACATGGACCTTGCAACCCGGTCAGACCCTTCAGACAAATCTGGCCATATTAAAATGCCCAAAAGCTGAGCATAATTTAGGTTCAAAGAAACCTTGAAATGAACGACATAGAGCAGCATATCTACAAGCACCTCCGTCTGACCCCAACCCACAGCACTTTTATCATTGTGATTAGGTCTCCATATCCAGACTATGGCAAATGGAAATCTGTTTATGCCATTGCATGTATCTGGATTCTGTTCTGAGGTGCTGCAATGCCTTAAGTAGAAGAATGACAGTGTCCGAGGTTCATGTTAGTTATATACACACATCCAACTCTCTCTCTTTACTTCTTTCTTTTAACACTACTTGCAATAAATCATTTACAGCAGAATATTTAAATTCATGATAGCATTAAAAAAGGATGGTAATACTCAACCGCATCAAAGGTTAAACCACCTCGCTGATGTCTTGTCCATTGTCTCCGCAAGTTTATAGGTCTTGGCTTATTAGCCTAACCTACGACTACGATATGCTTCATCTGCGACTCTTTTCTGTGGGGCTTAGGAGTCAAATATCTTCCTATAGCAAATGCACATCAGCAATACTCCAACGCTCTAATTTTAATTTTTGTTTTTTGTGGTTGTTTTCAGCCTAGCTCATTCAGAGCTGTCTAGTGTATTTTATGACAAAGTTCTACTTCTGGCATGGGGGTAAGCTCTTCGCAGTAGTGTCAGCAAACACATTATTTTGCCATCACAAAATTCCTTCCATGTGTTTCTGTGACTTGTGCAGGTTCAACAACATATTCGTTCTCATTATTGGCATTACTGTTTTCATATGCGCCACTGTTGGTGTGCTGCTGATAATGGAAACTTTAAGTGCGTTCTTGCACGCTTTGAGGCTTCACTGGGTAGAGTTCCAGAACAAGTTCTACGAGGGAAATGGTTACAAGTTCTGCCCATTTTCATTTACTTCACTTAATGAAGAGGATGAATCATAGTTGCCGAATGCCACTTTGACCAAGTATGTCAGTTTGCCAATAGTGGAGCCTGGCAAGTTTCAAGAGGCTACCACCCCTAGCTACCCTGTCTATACTTGTAGCATGTTCGTCAAATGTTTGTATAAATTATGAGCAGACCATATGGTTCCATACAGGAGTTCTGGTACTATTAATATTGCAGAGGATAACAATAGGTGGTGCAACCGATAATTAGAGTTACAAAGTAAACCCAGAAACCATAAAAGAACATGAACGGGGCACAATTTCCAGTTCCTATATAGAGGATAATTATAAGGATATGAAACTACATTTTGACATATTTGCTATTTACACAAACTCCAAACTAGTAGTTGGGGCAGGAACTAGTAGACATACTTAAGAAGAGTGTGCAGAAGTACTCACAGCAGCCACGCTTGAGACCATGGAATCCACTCCACACACGTTACGACCTCTGCAGATTTTGTAATACCCATTCTCTCCCCAGTTGGCTCCCCATGAATTCTTGATGATCCAGTAGGGCTTTTCCTTGAAGCGAATGGGGGCATAACCGGCAGACCCGTAGCCCACCAGAAGAACCCCGTGATCCAAATGCTTTCCGCATATGTATGGGCATGAAACGCCGCCTATGTACGTCTGCATAAAAACTGCATTGATACCAACTGCGCAAAACAAAGTAAAAGTCAGTGTTATTCTAATTAGGCATTAAATCGTTTCGAAGCCAGAAAAAGGTAAAATCTGATACGTAAAGAATAAATAAATAAAAGTTGTTTAGTTTGTTAGAGGTGGTTAGTTAGGTTCTGTTTGAATAAAGGGATGTAATAGTGTATCTAAGAGATCCCAAGTGTAAGTTAGAGACTAAGCATAATTTGAAATTTGAAATATCAGGGTCTGCATGGTTTCTGCTTTTAAAAACAAAAAATCATTTGGTAAGTGTTTTGAATTCAAACGTTTTCAAAACTGTTTTCATTTTTTTAAAAAAGTTAGAAACAATTTAAAATTGCTTTCAATTCCTTTTATATTTTTAAAGCACATTATATATAACTATTGTAAATTATTTTCAGTTATGGTGAACCACTATGAAAGGCCATCATCATTAATCATTAAAATTGTTTTCAAATTAACATAATCAGATGGATTCTCATTTTGCTTTGTTTTGAAAGACAACTTTTATTTTAAAAACAAAAATGAGAAAAAAACGAAACAAGCCCTTATTCCCTTTATTTTCTATCCTCTGTTTCTCTTTTTCTCTCTTCTCCCTCGTCTCTCACTTCTTTTTTCCCTATTTCTCTCTTCTGTTTTCCCTTCTTTCTTCCTCTTCCCAACTTTTTTATATATCAGAATCAAATTATGCATCATTCACATTAGCAACCCTTAATGAAGGATCGTAGTTTTTTTCACTTCTAAATAATTTCCTACGAGGAAGTAAAGGCCGTTGTGTTATATCACAAAAAGTAGCTACCTGCAAGAGGGCCATGCTTCACCAAATTTGCAGCAATTTGATCTTCGTCCATGGAAATCACAGAGAAATTAGCCACGGAAGCAGCAATTTTGCTTTTATCAAATTTGCAGGTACCACGGTCTGTTCCCGTGTAAGGATAGTCTTCTTCTCGCACCAGCCCACCGGCCTTGAGAGTATATTCGAATGCAGAGGTCATCAACCCACCGTTGCAGCCTGCATCACATGCTCCAGCTTCTTCTGGATCACACTGAAAACATTGACATGTTACATCATGATGTTTGTGTAAATCAATTTTCACGAAATTAATTCCCATGCCAATAACTTCTTTTAAAATGACGTGGCCCCATACCATCTTATGAAAACAAGATGGAGTCATGTGTCCTCCGTTTTCTTTTCCTAATTAAACCCCTGCCTTCTAAATCAACACATCAATTTCAGGCCAAAAAAAAGAACAAAAACCCATCAACTGCCTACTGCGTATGCTTCGCATGAAGAGACCAAAATTTTTACATGAGATTAAAATTTTCAATACAATTGGATCAATTAATCAATTAAATTGACAAAAAAGATGGAACGCTTCTCTTCGCATAAAAGTCAAACTCGCCAAAATAGCAACCCGAGGTGAAACTGAGCTCCAATAATTTATCAGAAACACCGATATAGAAAATATCCTAAGAAATTCATCCAAAAAAAAAATTCAGAAAACTTTCCGTTTATTACTATATCTACAGTCTTCAGAAAAACAAAGCGACTGATTCACACTAAAATGTAATAAATGAAGTTACTATTGCAACCAGATTATCTAAGTCAGGAAATGAAACAACGAATCATCCTACCCTTTTCTTCTTTTTCCACAAAATATTCCCTTGAGAAACCTAGCTTATGCAGAGGAGAGCATGGCCGCTCTAAACGTCAAAGAGAGGTGAAACAAACCTCATGGTCGCAATCCACTAGCTGTTGCTCACTAAGGCTCTCAAGCTCGCCCGTCGCTAGAAAATGAGCTCCTTCCAACGCCCCTGTGGTGCTAAACGACCAACACGATCCACACGCTCCCTGATCAATTCAGCCCAAAAATTAACCATTTAAAAGGTAAAATATGAAAAAAGAAAGAAAAACAAAACCAGCCTAAAGCCCAGGAGAAAATCAAAGCGTCGATGTATACACATGCCTGGTCCTTGACGCCGGTGACTGCTCCACGATCTCGCCAGTCGAAGTCCGTAGGAAGATCGTTTGTAGGGAGGATTGGAGCCTTTTGAGCATCGGCGGGAAGACGAAGTGGCTTAAGGCCGAGGAACTGCCGGCGAAATTCCGAGGGAGTAAGATCGGAAAATTTTGTGATGCCGTGGACGGCGGATGGATCAAGTTTCTGGTGTAACCTAGCCCGGCGCAAGTTAGCCTTGAAGACACCGAAACGATAGTCGTGCTCCTCTCTAGTAGCGTAGATTTTGCCGAACTTGATTTTGAAGGAGGAGAAATGGTGTTCGGCGTTAAGCAAGTGATCGTCGTTGTCCGTCACCACTTGCCGTATCAGGAGATCATCTTCATCGTCGATGCCCTCCGCCGTTGCGACCGCGGCTGATAGGAGGGAAAAGAGCAAGAGAGCCAATAGCGAGTGGCGGCCCATTGGAAATACGCAAGGGGAGGAGGCACTGTGAGAGAGATAAGCCAGTGAGATTTTTTTGTCAGCTTTAATAAGAAATTCCCAGAAGGCGGCAAAAACATTGTCCAATAAAATACCGACACGTGGTTCTTTATTACTGGTTTCGTGCATCAAATACGGAACTCGGGGTTAGGAGGAACAGGTGGACTAGCTATCGCCCAATGGCAACGTAACAAGGTTTATCCTCTTTCCCAATGATTTATTTTTCAGAAGAAAGAAATGTATAATTTATATTTATAATTATAATTATAATTGTATAATAATTATAGTCGAATGCATACTGTAGATTTAGTGCTTTACAGTGCTCATCTAGTTTTGCTTCTTTATAATGAGGGCATCGCAGTGTAAAAAGGAATATGTGAGTTTTATTTTTTTAAAAAAAAGTATATGCAGGATCTACAATAAATAAAAAATTAAATATGAAACTTATAATAAAAAAATATGTGTACGTGTATAACTTACAATAAAATAATAAATTGTGAAAAAAATGTGGTTTTGCAACTTAATGGGAGATTTTTTTTATTTTCAGAATTTTAATGTATATAAAATAATAGGTTTTAAATAAAATAATTTATTTCTTATATTTGTGACATGTAAAAAATAATAAATTGTAGAATAAAATAAATTTTTATTTACATTTTCAAGAAAGAATGTGAATAAATAAATTAAATAAATATAAATAAATTCTTCGTTTTAGTGTTTAATTTTACTTTTATCTTGATATTACCATTTTGCCAGAAAAACTCAATATCACAAATATAGAGATAACTACACCATTCACAAATTTTATAAGGTTGTGTTTGGTTTGAGGAGAAGGTGGGGGAAAGGAGGGAAGTAATTTTTAATGATCTCTTATTTAATTTAGGAGGAAAAGTGAAGAAAAATATTAACTAATTTATTATTATATCCTTATATTTAAGCTCTGTGTTTTTTAAGTACTCCTTGTGTAAATTAATTTTATACCTTAACCCAAATTACACAGCTTTTTTTCATTTAGAACTAAATTATTTTATTTATTAATTTTGAAATTAATTTTAATATTCTAATATTTTTTAAAACATGCAGGAAAAGTGGTTCACAAAAAAGTAAGGCCCTTCCCTTCGTCTCTTTCCTCTCAGTGTCTCTCAACCCATCGCTCCATCACCCTCTGCTGCTCACTTCCTCACCCTCGTTCTCTTGCCCTCTCCTGCTCGCCCTCGTTCTCACTCTTTGCTCCTTGTTCTCGCTCTCTCCCTTTGCTCACTCCCTCAGATTGCTGCATCTTCTTAAGTCACGACAACAACGGCCATCAAATTTATCATGCTCTCTCCCTTCCCACCGAGGTACTATATTTAGATCTCATGTTCTGCTTCAACTGGTTTACAAAAAATATGAATGATTGTTATTGGTTGGGTTATGGTTGTCACGATAGACTGCAACTTGATTGGAGACGGCGGACTGTAACTCAAATGCCAGAGGAAAGGAGTGCTAGTGAGGAGATGATTTCTAAAGGATAAGATGGTCCGAAATTTTAGCTCCCCTCCAAAAAAATCCCAAAGTGAAGGGGAGCAATATGAGGAGAGGGGAGGAGAAATTTTTGCTCCCCTCCCCTCTAAAACTCTCAACCGAGCACAGTGATAGTTCATACTTTATTTATTAAAAAATATAAAATATTTTTAATTTTTTAAAATATAATAATTATTTTTTTAAAGTACTCCTATTGATAATTAACTTTATATTTATTATAAGACGTTTATTAGAGATAAATATAAAAAGATATAATTAGTTTGAAAGTAAATAATTATTTTATTAGAGGTAAAATTTTATTAAAAATGCTTTACATTTGTTAATGGAGGAAGTAATTTTTCTATATTAGTTTTAATTAATTTTACTTATTTCCTTATTTTACATTTTATCCATGTTAAAAAAATTAGTCTCATTTGTCCTCTTTTTTATAAATTCAACTTATGAAAAAATTTCTTTTAATTTTATCCTATATTATCAAAACTAAGAATTAATATTCCCATGCAATGCACCCGTAAAAAAAATCTAGTTAGAGAAAAGTACCGTTATCATCAGAATTAATATTGGCATACTTATACCATAAAATTAACTCCCATAATTTCTAAATTTATAAACATTATGTTTTCCCGTTTTTATTTCCAAGATTTAAGTTGAAATAAACAATTTCCTTTTTTTTTGGGTTAATTTAAGGGTGACGATGTGAGTGGTTTGGCTTTTTCATATAAATTTAATTTTTAATAAAAGTGAAATATTTATAATCAAATTTTATTTCGTATAATTATATAAGTCAATACGTCTCTTCTGGTAAAACAGAAGGAAGGAGAGAGAATTTTTTTTAGTCAAAAAATTAAAAGAAAAAAAAAAACTCTTACCCAGAGAACAAATCAAGCTGAGCAAGAGATATCCTGATGCCATTGCCGTAATCCATCGTTCGAGACCATTCTTCTAGCATGATATTATTTTTTTTATTTACACATTTATTTTGGGTCCAAGAAGAAAAGTGAAAAGGGAGGCTCTATCATATTAAAAGCTTCATTTTCCGATGAACGAGAGACTTTCCTTCAATTCTTAACTTCAATATCTATGTGTCCGGGGAGTTGTTAATGACTTGTGTCAATTTTTTAATTGTTGGCAGAGAGCAGGAAAAAAGCAACAATGCTCCCTCCTTTTCCGTTCACGACAAATGATAACTGATGCCATGAGGCGGGCACATCGATATGCCCAGTCTCTTGCTACACTCAGTAATTTGGGAAAGTCGAGTGTATTTAAATTGATTTCAATTTAAATTAAATTATATTTAAATTATTTTATTTTTTAAAAAAAAATTATATAATCAAACACAACCCTAATTTTTTTTAACTAAGCTGGAGTTATCCCGTCAAGTTTGACTAATGTTACCAATTTTATATACATATAAAATTAAAAATTATATTAGTCAGATTTATTTAAATCGAGTTCAATTTAAGTTGAACTTATTAAAATTAAATTTAAATTATTTATCTATTAAAAAATCTATATAATTAAATTTAATTTTAATTTTTTTTTAAGTAAGTTCAGACTGATCCTTCAATCTTAATCCGAATGACAGGCGCCATCTCTTGCTGCGCGTCTCTTTCATCCCAATTTATATGAATTGAATAAAATCGTTGAGAAGAACTTCAAAATAATTTTATCAGCGCGCGTCTCAGTTGAGGTCACGTGGCCATCTCTCTCTCACTCCTTATTTTTTGATAAAATAATTTTATCCATTTTATCAGAGCTGCTTGCCGTGTGGGGGACTCATGATGGGAACAAGAACTTCAAAATGAGGAACTGTGAAGGAGCTCTCTGGCCTCTCCCTGTCCTATCGTCAGTCACGATAATTGGCTAAAATGGAGAATTTCGCGAAGGGAAAAACCGGAGAAAAATGTCATTTGAGAAATTCTATTTTGCAAAACTGAAATAGAGAGCTACGCGCCTGTGCCATTGGATGGAGTAGATCTTGAAACTGCTACTAAATTAATTTTAAAAAAAATATATTTAAATATAAATTTCATTATAGCAATTAACTTTTATTAAATTAATTTTTGTTAAATAAATTTTTAGCAAATAATTTTTTAATAAATTAAAAGCCAAACACATGCTAAATAATCTCAATTATTAAATTGAATCAGCTGCAACGAGTGCAAGTTTGCTCGTTCCCACTGTATAGCGAAAATTTGAATTAATTTTTTTTTTTTTTTGGTTATATACGTTGGAATTATGCTGAATTGTTGCTTTGACGGATATTCACTCGATTGCATAGAGATAGAGTGCAAGACTCAACAACATGCTTACTAAATCTCGCGTTGAAGTCCGCATTCCACCATCCGGATTATTCATATAGAACAGCTTAATCGTTCATTTCCAATTTTTTCACTTACGAGTTACGATGTCAGATTTTCCGTTGCGTGATGGGAGATGTAAATATCATAGGAGCGTGAGTGACAGAGGCTTTCCTTCATTTCGTATATATAAAAAAATGATAATAGAGGCTATTCAGCCTTGCATTCTTGCCTGACCACTTGAGTGTTAAAAGGCCAGTGGGCTTCAAATAGATGGCCTAGTGACAGGAACTGGGCTTCACATTTCGGCCCGCGTTTTCTGTGACCGGAATTTTCAAAATCTAGAAGCAGTCTTCCAATCTCCTGGCAGCAAAATACCCTTCTCGTGTGTTCTTTATCTTTCCTGTGGACCCTCTCTGCCTCTCATCCCATGTTTGGGCACTGTGCCTGTTCTTGGGAGACCTTGAGAATGAAAATATGAAACGATGAGTGTGTCCTGTGTATAAAATATTTTTAAAAGTAATTTTTCATTTTAAAATATGACATATCTTAAAATTACCCTCCGCTTTTTATTATTTGTTATATCTTTATTTAATGTATTACAAATAAGATTATATTACATAAAAACTATTTCTTAAAATTTATATTTGAGTTTTAGAAAAATACCATTGTAAAATATATTTAATAAATTTTATTATTATTTATAATCCTATAAAAAAGAATGTCTTATAAATTAGGGTAAATTGGTTCATTGGTTGAAAAAAAAGCTTGTGTCTAAAAAATATGGATCAAATTTTTTAAAACTTGGGAGTGTAACCAATTGATATTAATATCCAAAGAGTTTATTATTGATATACAAGTAATTTATTATTAAAATTTATAAAAATTTTATTATTAATATATAATGGTATATCATAGATAACTATTAAGTATAATGTAAAATATAAAAAATATTGAACACAATTTAAAAATTTATAATAAATTTGTGTATTATTTATTTTTAATTATTTTTTTTCTTTGAGAAAGCCTAGGGGCACACTCAATGCTAAAAGGGGTGGTGCTCGTCACCCCTAAAATAATTTAGATGATCTTGATTTAAATTTTTTTTATTTTTTAAAGTAAAAAATTTATAATTTAAAAATTTTATTAATTATCAATATGCACAACTTATATTTAATTAAGTCAGTTTAAATTTAATA